GATACCTTTCATTTTCATTATATATTATTGTGATCTTTTTATTTTATATATTCTTTATTATGCTTATTTTATGTGTGTATACCTTATTCTCTCATTTTGCTATCTTGTGAATTTGACTTTTCAAAAGTTAATGCTTCCATAGTTGCACTTGCAAATAATTTATTTGTTCTTTCTTTTTATTTGTAAATGTTTATTTCAAAATATTAAAAAAATATTTTATTTTCAAATAATTTATTTGTTAATATTGAAATGTTTTGAATATTTTGATAATTTTATAAGATACAATTACTATTTTTCGGCATGTTTGTATCTTGTAAAAATATAACATAATAATATTTTTCTAATATAACAACATTATGCAAAAATATAAAAAATAAAATAAATAAATATATAAATAAATATATCTTAATTTGAGTTGATTATAAGTGTCGTTATAGTAGAGATGTTTAACACATATTTGACCTTGTACTCTTTTAACAAACAAATATAAGGCCCTGCTCGATTCGACTCATTGAAGCTCGGATCGATATACTCGTTTAATAAATCTAAAATCCTAAATAATTTGTTCGTGAATAACTTATTTCACATAAAAATGAGTTGATTCATAAATTTTTAGAGGATTAATATATACAACATCTTTTTGTTTTTTCACTTATTCTTGTTTATATTTGTCATTATGTTACGTTTATTAATATTTTATTCAAACATAATATTATAATTGCAAGTATATAAAAGTCTCAATAAGTTTTAAAAAGTCTATTATGAAAGTCTTAAAAAGTCACTGATGAAAATTCTCTGAAAGTCTCAAAAAGTCCACCAAAGTCATGAAAGTTCTACAAAGTCCACAAAAGTCATCAAATTTAAAAAGTTTTAAAAAGCCCTTAAAAATCTCAATTGGATACACCCTCCGAAAACTTGGGGGAGAGACTGTGTTTTTTCCATTTCAATGATTGGCGCATATTTGACTCTTATAAGTTTACTTGATTCTATTTTTTAAATTCTGTTCTTTTTTTTTTAATATTAAATAACTACAATCATTCATATCAAATATTCTATGTCTTATTTTAGGATTGCATCTGCTTTGTTACCTTAATTAATTTATTATGTTAGTATTCAATTTTAATTTTCTTTTCGAATATTGAGTTACGTTAAACTAAATAATTTTTTGGAATTGTAAAATTTTCAAATCAAACAGCGGGCAACACATAAAAAATCAAATACGAAGTTGAACTTTTTCTACAATAAAAGTAACCAAACCAAATTGAATTGGTCGACTTGT